GCTCGGCCGTCTTGAAGCTTTTTTGCGGGCCTTTTGGGGCGTCTGGAGGCGATCTCGGGGGCGTCTTGAAAGCTGATGGAATCCGAAAGGCGAATCTGCTAAAATTGTAAGTTTTACGAAGGGAATGGGACGATTTTTGCAGTTTGAAGGCCCCTTGGAAAGCTTTTTGGGGTGCCTTGGGGTCTTTATGTTGGCATTCGGAAACATCGTGGGGATGTTTTCGGGGCCCTCGTGGGCCGCTTTGGCGCCTTCATGGGCCGTCCTGGGCCTTCTTGGGCCGTCTTGGGGCGCTTGGGCCCGCTGGAGCCCCCTTTGGACCCATCTTGGGCACTTCCGGGGACCTCCCATGGCCCTTTTGGGTCTATGCTGGGAGCCCTTAGAAGGCCTCTTGGTTCCATTATGGGCTGTCTTGGGCTCTCGTGGGCGATCGTGGGGCCCGGCTCGGCCGTCTTGAAGCTTTTTTGCGGGCCTTTTGGGGCGTCTAGAGGCGATTTCGGGGGCTTTGAAACCGTCTTGAAAGCTGTTGAAATCCGAAAGGCGAACATGCTAAACTTGTAAGTTTTACAAAGGAAATGGGACTATTTTTGTGCTTTGAAGGCCTCTGGGGAAGCTTTCTGGGGTGCCTTGGGGGTCTTCTGGGCCGTCCTGACGCAATTGGAGTCCCTCTTAAAGCGCTCTTGTGCTGCCTGGGGCCGCCCTTGAGCCCTTCTGATGACCCCTCGGATCGCTCTGGGTCTGCTGGCAAGGCGATTGTGGAGACACGGAAAGCCGGGTGACCTTTTCCAAGGACGTCCAAGGGAGCCCGAGAACCCCAGATCCCGGGGGTCCAGTTTTTTTTGGGGGGGGAGGGGATGGGTTCCCCCCCCCCCCCCTGGGCTGGTAAACATATAGGAAGAGGAATCTCTATATATATATATATATATGTATGTCTGTATGTCTGTATGTCTGTCTGTCTGTCTGTCTGTCTGTCTGTCTGTGTCTGTCTGTCTGTCTGTATGTATGTATGTATGTATGCATGTATGTATGTATGTATGTATGTATGTGTGTATGTGTGTATGTGTGTATGCATGCATGTCTGTGTGTATGGATTGATGTAAGTATGCATGCATGCACGCATGCATGTATGTATGTATGTATGTATGTATGTATGTATGCATGCATGCATGCATGCATGCATGCATGCATATACGTATGTATGTATGTATCTATGTATGTATGTATGTATGCATGCATGCATGTATGTATGTATGTATGTATGTATGTATGTATGTATGTATGTATGTATTAAGAAAATATGGGTAGTCCTCCCAGCCCAGCACCCAGGGCCAATCCATATCCATACCCACCGCCCACTGGGGTCCCAGGACGTCGGTTTCACAGGCGGTGGACATGGAACCATCCCCCGTCTTGCACCTGCCGCCCTCCCGTCCGCCCTCCTCCCGGCTTTCCGCGCAGGGACTGCCAGCGCGCCGACGAGGGCGTGGCCCGCGCCTCGGCGGACAAGGTGATGCCGCTCTGCGTCCCGGGGCCGGGGGCCTGCACGCTCGGATTGTCGCGCGGAGCGTGCGGCAGAAGCCTGCCCAGCGGCACCGCTGCGCAGGGGCACAACCTGTGCTGCTCCACGGCCGTGCCTCTTCATCACGTCGTCGGGGAGGGTGGTGTGCTCTGCAGGAGGGATGCGTGGAGGAGCCCCGAGGAGCCCCTGACAGAACATCTACACCATTCAGCACGGAGAGCTCGAATAGTCTTGAGGACCCTCGACTTGGTGCCTCGAGGTACGGAGGCCGATTCAGAAGGAACGCGGAGGAAGAAGAGGAGGAGGAAGAGGCAGAGGAGGAGGAGAAGGACGAGGAAGAGGAGTAGGACGAGGGTTGAGGAGGAGGAGGAGGAGGAGGATGATGATGATGATGACGATGATGCTGATGCTGATGATGATGCTGCTGATGATGCTGCCGTCGATGATGATGCTGATGCTGATGATGCTGATGATAGTGTTGATGCTGCTGCTGCTGATGATGATGATGCTGATGCTGCTGATGGTGATACTGATGATGATGCGGATTCTGATGTTTATGATGATGCTGATGCTCATGCTGATGCTGCTGTTGCTGCTGCTGATGATGATGCTGACGAGGATGATGATGCTGCCGGTGCTGCTGCTGATGATTATGAGGATGATGATGCTGCTGATGATGATGACGACGATGATGATGATGATGATGATGATGATGATGATGATGATGCTGATGATCATGATGGTGGTGGTGGTGGTGAGGAGGAGGGGGAGGACGAGGAGGAGGAGGGGGAGGAGGAGGGGGAGGAGAAGTAGGAGGAGGAGGAGGAGGGGGAGGAGGAGGGGAGGAGAAGCAGGAGGAGGATGATGATGATGAGGATCAGGATGAGGATGAGGATGAGGATGATGATGATGATGATGATGATGATGATGATGATGATGATGATGATGATGATGATTCTGATGATGATGATGATGATGATGATGATGATGATGAATAATGATGATGATGCAGATGATGATGATGATGATGATGATGATGATGAGATGATGATGATGATGATGATGATGATGTGATGATGGTGATGATGTGATGGGGATGGTGATGATGATGATGATGATGATTATGATGATGATGAAGATGAAGATGAGATGATGATGATGAGATGAATGATGATGATGATGATGATGATGATGATGATGATGATGATGATGATGATGATGATGATGATGATGATGAAAATGAAAATGAAGATGAAGATGAAGATGAAGATGAAGATGATGATGATGATGATGATGATGATGATGATGATGATGATGATGATGATGATGATGATGATGATGATGATGATGATGATGATGATGATGATGATGATGATGATGATGATGATGATGATGATGATGATGATGATGATGATGATGATGATGATGATGATGATGATGATGATGATGATGATGATGATGATGATGATGATGCGATGGTGATGATGATGATGATGATGATGATGATGATGATGAGCGGAGGAGCGGAGGAGGAGGAGGCGGAGCAGGAGGAGCAGGAGGAGGAGGAGGAGGAGGAGGAGGAGGAGGAGGAGGAGAAGGGTGGGTGGGGGAAGAGGGGTATTAACGGCAGGAGAGGAAGGAGGAGGGACCGAGGAGACTGGAGAGCGAAGACGCTACTCTCGGCGACCCCCCGCTCACGGGAGCCAGGCCACGGACGAGAGCTTCTGCGGCACCTACGGGCCCGAGAGGGCGATGCCTGCCTCCGCGTCGTCCTGGGCCCAGAAGACCCGGATCTGTCGGCCACAGGTCATACCCCTGAGACGACCTCCTCCTCCTCCTCCTCCTCCTCTTCCTCCTCCTCGTCCGCGGCTGTCCGCGGCACTGTCCTCGCTAGAGCGCCGCGGCGCACTGTCGCTGCTGTGGCTCGTTCGGCATGTCCGGCATCGCTGTGGGCGATCGCCAAGCAGCCAGTGCAGCCTACTGTTGACGGTGCTGATGTGGCCGAAGGCTCTCGCCCCTGCGCTCCGAGGCTGCTGCGGCGCCGCCTACGGAAGGCGGAGGCGCGCAAGGCAGGCGGCTCGTGGCGATGGCGACGCTGGTGACGGTGGAGCTGCGGCTTCGGGCGCCAATGACGACGCCGAGTTGGACGACGCCTGGGCTCACATGCCTGCCGTCGGCGTCGAGGCAGGGCCCTGCGTGCCCATGGGGCGACGGCGGGAGCGGAGTCTCGCGGCGGCGGCGGCCTTGGCGGAGCCCGCCGCTCTCCCCGCGGCCTCGGCGGCGGCGGCAGCGGCTGGCGGTGCGGAGGCGGCGCCTCGCCGTGCGGGCCCGGCGGCTGTGGCCTCGACGTGCGCCCAGCGGGCGCAGCTCTCGGTGGCTGACGCCGGGCCTCGTCGGCGGCTCCCCGTCGGAGGCGGAGCTGCTGACGACGTGCAGGAGCGGGGCGCCGCGAGTGCTCGGGAGCTGCCCGCGGTCGGGCCGTGGCGGTTCTTCCCCTCGTGAGCGCAGCCGTGGCGGTCCAGGATGTGCTCTGCCTCGCGGTGCCGGCGGCGCTCTTGCGTGGTCCTCCTCGCGGCCGGGGGGGCCAGGGCTGGTCAGGTCCAGTCCTGGCCTCCCGCTGGCTGCCGTGCAGCTCGCTCAGCAGCGAATGTGGATGTCAAAACCCCCCCCGCCGCTGCACCCCCCCCCCCCGCTCCTCCATCCTCCCTCCTCTCGGCGCTGCAGTCCACCCGCATAGTGAGGATGGGCCATTTTCCCAAGGGTATAGCCTCGCATCCTCGTCTCCTCGGCCCGTCCTTGGCCACTGTCGCTGGCCGCGCCCCGCTCGAAAAGCTTCGAAATGGCACTCCGCGTCGAGTGCTTTCCGTCGAAACAGCTGCGCCTCGTCGAGAGCATGCCGGGAGTACCCCGGGTCGCCCCGGGCGGGTGCTGGAGGCCCGAGGTAGGGCCCGAAGACCACCAGGCGTCGAATGGGTGTCGACTATAGAGGGAGGGGGTCGATGCCCTGGCAGGAGCCGTGATCTCTCGCCAAGATCTCATGGCTCCCCCTCCTTCTTTCCATGCGTCCCTTGGCCCTCTCTGGGCAGCGCGCGCGCCTCGGGCTGTGATCTGTGACCCCCCTTCTTGGGCGCCCCCTCCTGGGCGCCCCCCGACGGAGCCGTGCACCCTCGCGTCGTGAGCAGATGCCACTACGGAAAGCTTAGGCCACTCATCGGGCCATCAGGCCGTTTAACGTGACCAACAGTCATTCAAATCATGTGCAATCACGAGCTGCAGTGGCAACGATGCTCGGCTCAAGTTTGACAACGATGCTCGGCTCCAGTGTGATAAAGCTGTGGTAACAACACCTGAGTCGTTTTATCACACTTGGGCTTTTTTATCACATTTGAGCCTAACACCGTTGCCACCGCAGCTCGTGATTGCACCGTCTTTTAATCACACTTGAGCCGGCTCAAACCGGCCGCGGGGAAAGGATCGGAACGTTTGTTGGTCCCCGCTGCACAGAAAGAACACGACGATGTCGGGGGCCTGGGGCGATCAGGCAATGCCAGGGGGAGTCACCAGCAAGGGGTGGGGGGCTGCCACCTCCTTTTGAGGATGGAGGATCGAGGAGGAGGTTTGATCAAGGATCGAGGAGGGCTTTGGACGTTTCTGGGAGCCCTGTGGGGTCCTGGGTGAGGTGGAGAAGGTCCTGGAGGCAACCCCCATGGTGGTGATCCTCTATGGCATTGCCTGGGATCAGGGCGGTGGCGGCGGCGAGGAGGAGGAGGAGGATGAGGAGGAGGACGACGAGGGAGAGGAGGAGGAGGAGGGAGGAGGAGGAGGGAGGAGGAGGAGGAGGAGGAGGAGGAGGAGGACGAGGGAGAGGAGGAGGAGGAGGAGGAGGAGGAGGAGGAGGAGGAGGAGGAGGAGGAGGAGGAGAGGAGGAGGAGGAGAGGAGGGAGGAGGAGGAGGAGGAGGAGAGGAGGGAGGAGGAGAGGAGGAGGATTAGCACGGACTGACAGTTGGGTGCAAGAATGGGTTCCCCATTCGCCGGACCCTCGGGGTAGGGCTGAGCGAACAGGGGGGGCCCAAATCAAGACCCAAAACTGGGGAGGGTACGGATCCACGGACCTGACAAAGCCAGCAAAGGCGCAGGGGCCGAACACACAATCTCCTGCAGGCAGAAATCCTACTGGTCCGACTGGTGGTCCTCCTTACCCTCCCTCCTCACCCCGCAGCCCTTCTTAGCGATCCCCGGATCTGGGCTCCTAGGGGGTGGCATCCCGAAGGGAAGTGAACTTGCGGGGGCAGAAGTCCACTAAGACACGGGGGCCAGGCACGAATAGACAGGGATGCGGTCGCGCAGCTCAAGAAGTGCTTCGGACTCCCGATTGTCAGCGGGGGGGTCGGGGTGTGCATGGCCCAGTGGCGCCCCTGAATGACAGCCAGGGCCCCCTCGATTAGGGCGGGGGGCCTGGATGCCACCACCACTGAATTGGGTGCTCTTGAGGGGCGAACGCCCCGGCATCAGCATGCAACGCACGAGGGGACAAGGTCCCAGCATGCATTAGGCAACAGGCAACGCATGAGGGCTTATGATGGCCAACGACGCTATCCCACTAAGTGGGATTGTGGGTGGCGCAAAGCTGAAACGGACAATGGGGGAACCGACAGGGGGTCCTCATAAGCACTGGGCTTTACAGGCTCTCCGGCAGATCGGCGAGCATTACTCATGAAGGTTTTTTGGGTCCCCTTAGGGGGACTCATTGGGACTTATCTCACGCCCGGTGTTTCACCAGGCCCGGCCCAGAGCAGCCGCTTCGCACCGGTGAGCTGCCCAGCTCACCGGTGTTCCCACCAGGCACGGCGGCAACAGCCGCACTACACTGGTGGGCTGCCTAGCGCACCGGTGGCTTTTCCAGGCGTGGCCAATGAGCCCCACCTGACCAGCCGAAGCAGCCACCGTACTAGAACCGATCGCCATCGGGCGGGAGTAGTTTTGCCCCCCTCGGATTCTGAGTGCCAGCGGGTCCAGAGCTCGGAACGCACGTGGGTTGTGCAGACCCGCCCTACTTGCAAGCAAGCTTGTATCTGGGGGCAGCGAACAGAATGTCCCTTCACTCTGGCCCCTCTTGTGAACGGAAGCGGGCGACGTGTGAGCTTCCCCCCATAGCTTGCAATAGAGAACTCACAGCTACTTAACAGGGGCAGCGAACAGACCTCAGTCTTGCATGCTTTGGCCAACACGTGAACCGTTCGCACGGGCATACCTCCCGCGCCAGCTTGCCCTTCACTCGGGGCCCTCTTGTGAACGGATTAGGAAGTACCCAACCGATGAGGACGGGTGGGGGGGCGTGTATATGAGTATGTAACGGAAGGCGGTGCAAGCAATATAGTACAACGCGCAAGGGTTAAGAGACAGAGACAGAGAGACCACGACAGAGACGGCGACGAGGAAGCGCAGTTATCTCGCCCCGAGCGGGGAGGATAAATAACGAATCGCCCCCCCTCGGCCGGCCGCACACCCGAGCAGACACGCACATCACTGACCCAAGAGCTGCAGCAGCGGCAGGCGGCTAAAGCGATGTGCTTGACGATGGCTACGCGCGCGGCGGCTGGTAGGCTGATCCAGTCGAATCAGCGGGTCGGGGGCTACTGTGAACTTGCTATGCAGTGGTCCTTAGTCCCCGACCCTTTGGGCAATGGGCGTGGGGGGGCAGCATATTGAATGGCAAGCTGATCCGGTCGAATCAGCGGGCCAGGGGCTACCGCGAACTTGCTGTGCAGTGGTCCGTAGTCCCCGACCCTTAAGGCGAAGCGGCGGTAAGCAGTACGCATGATGCACATACAGGCCACCCGCGTGGTGGTTACGGCAGTGAGATGTTCAACTACTACTTGGGCCCTGGTCGCTCCTGTCGAAACGACCGGCTGAGTGCTGCATGCGAACTCCGTGAGTCCGTAGCTCTTTGCCTCCGTACCCCAAACTCCTATCCCGAGCATCGGAATATGGGTTTGGGTCCCCGGGCCCCAGTCAACCACTGTATGCTTACTGACGCTCCGCCTCGAGCCATGGCAGGCTCCAATCATGCACGAGCTGGCCGAATTAAGCCTTTGTCGCCCCGACCCCCACTCCCTGGCCCTCGTGGTCGGGGTGCTCGTCGGACCCCAGCAGGGATCCTTAAAGGCTGCCCCGTGCGTCCCCGACCACATCGAGAACCAAGAAGCCTGGGGGGTCATTGGCACGGGGAGGAGGAGGAGGAGGAGGAGGAGGAGGAGGAGGAGGAGGAGGAGGAGGAGGAGGAGGAGGAGGAGGAGGAGGAGGACTCCCCCTGGCACTGGGGGGCAGGAGCTGCCCAACCTGCACCTGTTCACACTATGCACAGGTATTCGTGGTCGAAAAGTATATCCGTATCTGAGGCCTCGCTGGCTGGGCTCCTGTGCTGCGACTCCGCAGCCTTTTTTTCGCGGATGCTCCCCGCGCGGAACTTATCCAAGCGACCGCGTATCCGTGGGACCGCGCCACGGAATCCAGCCCGCAAGGGGGTGGATATGGACATGTTCTCCGCTCGTGATGGCGGGCCCACTCGGCTCGGGGCATGCCTCCGAGGTCCCCGAAGACGGCGCCGAGGTCGCCGAGGAAGACCGCGCCAGTGCCCACGAGCAGCGGCGCGAAGGCGCGGTGGCTCCGGCTTCGGCTGCCTCGGCAGTCGGAGCGGCATCGGGAAGCCGGATGCACACCTTGTGGGCAGCCTGGGCGAAGGCTGGTGCAAAGTCAGAGGGGAAACATGGACCACCGCCACCGAGAACCCGTCAGGATCCACTTCGATCCGATTGATCCAATTCGATGTCGACTTCGGCCGTCCCGATCCGATTCGATTCTCATGTTCGGACGTTTCGATGCGGCCCGATGCTCGCGTGGCGTCGGTGTGCATCTTGGCGCGGCCGATCCGATTCGATTTCGACTGCGTGCCGATACGGCCCGATCCGATGCACTTTCCGATCCGATGCGATTTGCCGATTCGATGCTGACTGATCCTGCCCATCGGGGGGAGCCGCAGACGCCTCGCACAGCTTCAGACGGTCGTGAGCGCCATGCCGAGCCAGACTACAGCGCCGTGCCGCGCGACAGGCAGCAGGCTGGCGGCAAAACCATCTGAGCCCGCAACCACCCGCCGCTGGCGAGAGCTGAAGCGGGCCATCGCCCGCCACGCGTCCTCGGGGGCCCAACCCCGACCCTGGAGATTTCCAGCTGCGCGGAGAGACGGGACAGGAGGGTGGTAAGGTCCTCCGTCCGTGGTCTTGGCCAGGAAGAGGCTTCTCCCGGGGGCCCCCAAGGTGTGCTCCACCCCGATCAGCGCTTGGGGGTGCAACGCAGGCCCGCTTGGTCAGGGCCCGACTTGCGTTGTCCGTGCCATGTGGACTTTTCTGCCGGCGGGCAATGGTCAACCTTGAAACCCGAATCAACTCACCCCCAGGCCTTCCGATACACAACCCTGGAGTTCAGAATCTTGGACCCTGACCTTCGGTCCCCCCAGATCAACTTGTTTCCAAATCCTGCGGCCGTCAATCTTTAGCACCCTCAGGCGGCGAGGCTTGATCCTAGTATCAGTCGCGCCCCCAAGCTCAGATCGTCCTCCCCACGGCACCGGCAATCGGCGCTTGGCGCTTCTGGTGCAATGTTATGTACTTGCAATGTTGAGTCGTCGTGTGCTTTGCATATTAGTGTGATGTATCATGTGTCTAGTGTGCAGTTGTGCTTATAGAGCGATGGTAGTAGTGTATCGCGTTTGCTTGTTTGCCTGGGGTACAAGTAGCATGTTGCTGCGGGGGCGGGCACGACACATACACAGCAATGTTATCACAAGTGTTGGTCCGACACTTTATGTGTGTGAGTGTGTGCGATAATTGGAAGGAATGGTGCTTGATTTGTAGGTCGGAGCTCCCGTCTAAAACGCTCTGGCTATTCTAATTCAAAGATGCTCTGTGTGTAGCAAGGAAAGCCACAGGTGCAATATTTCCTGCCGGGATGCCTCACTAAGATTGTGCCTGGCATTCTTGCAAGTTGTTGTTCAGTGGGCGCACGTGTGTGTGTGCTACCACAGCGCTGCGGATGGGAGCGGCGGTCGGACGAGTTGGCGAAACCATGGCACAGCGTGCGACAAAGATGTGTTGGCTTGCTGCGGGTTAGGCGGCCGCGAGGCAATGTAGAGGGGGCGGCGACTGCGACCACGGGGCCGACAGCAGTTGCGGCAGTGGCAGTGCCATCAGCAGTGGCAGTGTGCAGCGCACTTCTGGCAGGCCAGCAGCTCTTTCCGAAAGCGCCTGGAAGAGCTGGCGGACGACCACGAGAGGCCGCCTGCCGCTGCCGCGGCCGCGGGAGGGCTGCGCCCCCCCCCCCTCTGCCTACTGTCGCCATCTCTGCTGCCGCGGTGACTGCGGCTGGAAACTGCCAATGTGAGTCGACCAGAATGGCTTGTGCATGGCCTGGCCGTGGGCTCGTCCTGGGCTGGCCTTGGATCTTGGGGAGCTGGCGTGGCTCGGCTGGGCGGCCTGGCATTGTTCGTTGGGCGCGTGCCGATTCCGCGGTTCGCATCCTGTGCATCTCGTCCCGTGCCCTCAGCCAGTCTGGCTCTCCGCGGTCTACGCCACGCTCTTCAGTGCACAGGTGCGCAGTGTGTGTGATGTCTAAGCGGGTGCTGAGTTTTTTTGCAGAACTCTGTGTGGGGTCCTGAAGGCGCAGGCGTTTGACTTCACTGAGCATTTCTGCTGCCATGGTCGCATGTGTAGCCCCCCAAACAAGCCTTGTCGAGCAACAGTTGGTTTACCCGGTTTCCTCTTTTCGATTAGTTCTCGTCTCGCCCTGATCAGATGCAGCTCTCTTCCTTGCCGTTCTCCATCCAGGCCCTTTCGGCCCATTGACATTTTATTGCTGCATGTTTTGTTGCCTGTATGCCATTTGCCTCTCCCCTCAAGAATTACAGGCTCTGTGCTGAGCTATGTGGTCTTCGCGCTGAGAACAGTGGTTTGAAGGACTGCCGTACCAGAGTGTTTGCTATGGGGGGAGAGATGGGATAGTAAACCTATCGTCAGTACGAGAACTCGGCTTGAGGATCGCAGAGTCCCGGACGATATGATCTGGGTGCGGCGAATCACCGACGATCGAATGTACGGGGTGTCGAGTGATTCTTTTGAGCACCTCTCGAAGAGCTGATCGGCGTTTTGCAATGTCTGTTTGCATGTCAAGACTGGTTTTCGGACACTCAAGCACGCGTCGGGCTTCGAGCGTTACAACAGTGAAAGCACGTAAACCGCACTCCATACGCAACTCTAGCTTAACGGCTTCGAGTCTTCAAACGCCCTGCGCCGGTATATCTTGTCACCTTTTCATAGCACTTCGCGTGCGAGGCCAAATATACAGCGTGGAGATTGGTAAGGCGTTCCCAAGACATTTCTCGGCGTGCCAGGGGAGCGGCAGTGTGAGTGCGAATGCACGTGATCATGCGCATACACTTGAGCTACGAAAAATATGGGTCCAACTGCGCCAACATTCGCGCGTAAGCTGCTCGCGTAAGGTCGCTCGTAAGCGCCCTCGTCTCCAAACTGGCGTGCCGCGCCGGCGGCTCGCGTAAGCCACCGCGTAAGGGTACTGTGCCATCTCGCGTAAGGCCCCTTTCTTCTCGTCGCTCACTTGCAGAAGTGGGAGTCGTGTCCCGGGTGGCAGTGCGGGTTTTGGCCCAGTGGTCGCCCGTGGCCGTCCGCGGCCGCCTCTGCGCCGCCTCGTGCGCTGGGTTGTGGTGCCGGGTTGTCGCTCGGCGGCCGCCTGTGGCTCTCCGTCGCCGCTTCGTCGCCGCCTCGCGTGCCACCACAAAGCCTGTACCGTCCACCACATAGCCTACGCCACACGGATTGCGCCACATCTGCTTGTAACACACAGCTTGCATCACCCATAGGTTCTACCACAAGGCTTGCGCTACACGGATTGCACACGTCGCGTCGGCGTCACAGCTTGCACCACGTTGCTTCCACCACGTAGCCTGCTGCACGTAGCTTCCACCACGTGATCTAGATCACCTTGCTTTTACCACAGCTTGCAGCACACTGCTTCGACTACATGTCTTCTGTCACACAGGTCGCATCGCCTAGCTTGCACCACATCCATTCCACTAACTAGCTTTCACCACATTGCTTCCTTGACGAAGCTTGCACTTCACAGTGCACGAACTTACGGTTTGAGGTCCACGCTTGCAAGCATGCTTCCTCAATCGCGATCAGTCAACTTGGCGGCGATGCCCAGAGGAATTTCCAGCACGGCGTGTACCGAGGGGCGCGGGTTTAGCTGTACGGTGCTTGTCCGCTAGTCACAGCGTGGCCTTCCCCCTGCGCTGCCAGTGTTGGAGGGGTTCGACATTTTTCACAGTGCGGTTTTTAGGGCCCTAGAGGGTGAAGTTCCTGGGTCTGCGGAGGCGTTCTCTCGATTGCTGGTGCCACAGATTTGACGCTCAATGGGTCGCATAGGCACCCGCTCTCTCCATGCTGAGAATGCCGAGTCTCCCCATCTTCCGCGCCTCCGCCATCATCGTGGCCATCAGACTTTGCCCGAGCCACCTCTGCCCCCGCCGCCGCGCCAGCCTGCCCTTCGCTGTGGCCTCCTCCTCCTGCTCTTTCTCCTCCTCTTCCTCCTCCTCCTCCATTTTTCCTTGTGAATAACTCCTCCGTGTCGCACCCCGAGGCCAGTCGGAAGGGCGGGCCAGCCGTTTCGCCTGAGACTTCCTGAAGCTGGCAACCGTTTCACAGATGGAGGGCGGGCGGTTTTCAGAATGTGGCTCTCGCTTTAGCGCCGCTCACATTCGTGCCAAACACTGCAAGAAATTCTCAGTTTGAGGGCGGGTGGCTTTCAAAATGTGGCTCTGGCCTTTGCGACGCGCGCATTCGTTTAAAACACTGCAAGAGTTTCACGTGTTGAGGTCGGTTGGTTTTCAAAATGTGGCTCTCGCATTAGCTCCGCGCACATTCGTTAAAATCAATTGCAAGGGCTTCGCGAATTGAGGGCAGGCCGTTTTCGAAATGTGGCTCTCGTCTGAGCGCCGCGCGCATTCGAGTTTGAAACATGTGCAAGAGTTTCATGTGTTGAGGGCGGTTCCTTTTCAAACTGTGTATCTCGCGTAGCGCCGCACGCATTCGTTTTAAAAACTCACCAGAGTGTCGTTTATTATCATGGTTAACGTACCAGAATTTGTGTTTTGAAGCGATTCAGGGTTGTCAGGGCACAACACTTACAATGATTCGCGGTGTTGAAGTCCCAGGAGCTGTGCTCTGGCACGATTCAAGATCGCCAAGACGCAACAATCAGGTTAACTGGTGGCGTTGAAGTCCTGAGAACGGTCTTTTGGCAAGCTTCAGGATTTTCTCACAGTTGCCCCCCCAACGGGGCAATTCCTTCAGTGGACATGAGCCCTTGTAGGGGCCTATGGAGAGGGAGCTTGCAGGGAGGGTGTATTCCAACATCGTTGATGAGTCGTGGGTTTGCACTTGTCCTCCTCCTCCTCCTCCTTCCCCTCCTCCTCCTCCTCCTCCTCCTCCTCCTCCTCCTCCTCCTCCTCCTCCTCCTCCTCCTCCTCCTCCCCCTCCCTGCCCTCTCCCTGGGCATGGACCTTGGGACCTTCGCAGACGAGGTGCTGGAGGCTGTGGCGGGCATCTGCGGCGACGCGGTGGTGGAGAGCCACGACCAGGCCGCGAGCGTGCTCGACGCGCTGCTGCGGCGCCCAGGGACGGACCGGCGCGAGCTGGCGGCCGCCTTCGGGGTATCGCTGGAGCTCAGAGGAGGAAAAGGCACCGACACCGCCACCCTTTGCTTCGTTTTCGCGTTTTTGGACCTCCTGGGAGGCCCTCGTCATCACCGCTGGATGCGCCTCGGCGTTCTGGTCAGAACGCAACCCAGGAGAGGTCCGGGGAGTGGCGGTGGCTTCCCCAGGAGCAGCTCGAGCGGTGCCGCAGCGGCGGGCGCGAGGGTGGAGGCTGGGGAGACCCCCTTGGGCCCGGCACCGTCAGGCCTATCCCCATTCCCACCGGGAACGCCTGAGCCCCGCCGTCTGGCCTGGCCCGCCTCCCCCCTCCAGGTGGGGACAGGTGCGGCCTCCGTCGGGTTTCGCGGCGTCTCTATCCCCGCCTCGAGGGGGCAGGCTGGCGGCTCGAAGGAGCCCTGGGCCTACTGGGGAGGGGGGCGGGTCTGACGAAGTCGAGCGGATCCAACGCCCTGCGGCGGCGGGGGCGGCGGGCTTCCAGGGGGGTGCCCTCCGGGAGGGGGCGGCACGGGGCTCCTTCCGAGGCAGTGCCCCCGAGGGCAGCGGGCAGGGCAGACCCTGAGGGCGGCGCGCGCCGCTGCCCCCTGTCTCCCCCCTGACCTCTCCCCGCCCCTGCCCCCCGTCCTCGCTCCCCTTCCCCTTTCCCCTTCCTCCTCCCCCTTGCCCTCTGTCGAGGGGCGGGGTAGGGATGGGGGGGGGGGCATGGCCAGTTCAACGTCGATTCTCGCCGAGGGTCGGGGGTGTGCCGTGCCGCCCGCGGGGGTGGACCCGTCGGGGGTCCACGCCCTCATCCCGTGGCCATCTGGGAGCAATGGGGAGCTCCCCAGAGGCGGAGAGGCTCTCGCGGTGTACAAGGACCTGCTGCCTTTCCTCCTCCTCCTCCTCCTCCTCCTCCTCCTCGTCCCCTGAGCTTTCCCCCCCCTCTCAGGGGTTCTCTCCCTCCGCTCCCGCGCTCTCAGCCTCAGGCTCTGCCTCGCTCCCGCCCTCCTCGGCCCCCCCTGCATCTCTCTGGCTCTCGCTGCCGCCCCTCTCGTCCTCTCACTTTTCCACTCTCTCCTTCGACTCTCTCTCTCTCTCTGTCTGTCTCTATCTCTCTGTGTATCTCTGTCTCCTTGTCTTTCTGTCTGTCTCTCTCTCTCTCTCTCTCTCTCTGTCTGTCTTTCGCTCTACTCGTGCATGCATTGCCTCTCTCTCTGTCTTCGTCTGTCTGTCTGTCTGTCTGTCTGTCTGTCTGTCTGTCTGTCTGTCTGTCTGTCTGTCTGTCTGTCTGTCTGCCTGTCTGTCTGTCTGTCTGTCTGTCTCTCTCTCTCTATATATAGATATCCTTATTATTGCCTTTTTTTTTTTTTCTCTCTCTCTCTCTCTCTCTCTTTCTCTCTCTGTCTATCTCTAGAACCGCTCTTCTCCGAAGGACCTGTGCAACAGGGACGCTGTTTACACTTGGAACGTGCTGATAGAGCGCATCAATCAAGCTGCACACTGGCGCGAAGAGTTCAGGGAGCTGCGGGACGCCGACGAGACGGACAGCGAGGGTAGCGACCTGGACATGGGCGCCGAGCCGCCAGACATCCAGGAGATGGGTTGTCCCCTCAACGCGACGCAGAGAACTCTCGTCGTGTGCATTCTTCCAAAAGCTTGGATCGAATATAGACACACGGCAGAGCCATAACATTTCGCAGGTCTGCGCGGATTTCTTGCCAGGGGGATCCCAGCGCTGGCCCCAGAAATCCATGCGGACTTCAGAGCGTTTCCGTGTATGCCGTTTTCTCTTTTTGTGCTGGAGCGGAATGGCTCAATATGGCTTCGACGACTGAGGGGGCGAAACCTGAGGCTGGCTGCGTGTCTTTTTGCCAGAAGTTGAATTCTCAGTGCCCCGGCGGCGAATGTCTAGTGCTTTCTGGGGTACTCTGGCCCCCGACCCGCCCAGTCCACACGCGTGGTCTCTTGCGCTCGGGCTCTCTCTTTCTTCCTGTCTGTCTGTCTGCCTGTCTGGCTCGGACTCCGTGCCGCGCTACGTGCCATCGCCTCGTTGCCCAGGCACGGCTGGGGCGCGCCAGTGAGGCGTGGCCAGTCGGAGGACTGGCATCGTGGGACCCCGAGGGTCTGTCTGCCTGTCTGCCTGCCTGCCTGCCTGCCTGTCTGCCTGCCTGTCTGTCTGTCTGCCTGTCTGTCTGTCTGCCTGTCTGCCTGTCTGTCTGTCTGTTTTCTGCCTGCGTGCCTGCCTGCCTGCCTGCCTGCCTGCCTGTCACGGGGGCGGGCCCGTGCCACGACCCGCCCGATGCTCCAGGTCGCGCCGGCCGTGGTGCCGCGAGGGCGCCCGCGCGCCTCGCCCCCGCGGCCCGGGCCCGAGAGCCGCCCCGCTCGGGGGCGGGCTGCGCCCAAGCTCGTGCGCGGGCCCCGCGGGCAGCTCCGGGGCAGCGCTTGCCGTGGGCTCGCGGGCAGCGCCGGGGCAGCTCGGGGGCAGCGCCTGCGAGCCTCGCGCGCGCCCAGCTCCCATAGGGCGGCGGGGTCTATGCACATTCGCAGCTCCCTGGCCAGGTCCATCCTGGACCCAGTAGCCGTGCATACGCCCTTGTGACCAAGCAAGGAGGGCGTCGCCGCTGCCGCAGTCAGGAGGGGCGTGGCCAGGGAGACCAGCGCGCATGTGTGAATCTCGTCGCCCTATCCCAGGCAGCGCCTCCAGAGCTCGCCTGCAGGTGTGTGCCCGCGAGCTTCCAGGGTCCACTTCGGCTCGCTCGGTCCGATTCGGTGCCGCTTCCAGCCGGCCCGATCCGATTCCCTGCCGATGTTCCGACGATCCGATGCGGCCCGATGCCTGCGTGGCGCTGCTGTGCCTCCTGGCGCGGCCGACCCGACTCGATCTCGGTTCCGTGCCGAGGCAGCCCGGTGCCGTTGCGCATGTTGATTCGATCCGATCCGTCGATCCGATGCTGCCTCGTCCTGGCCTCCCCCTTGGCATCGCTCGGACGTGTGCATTTTTTCCCGGCCAGATCCATTGAGGAAATCCTGGACCATCGAGAAAACAAAAACACGCACGAAACCGAACAACGCACGGGAAATGGACGTCTGAGCGACGGCAAGCCCCCGAGCGCCAGGTCCGCGAGGGCCCGGAGGCCACCGCGCTCCCGCGCGGCACGAGGGCGCGGCGCGCCAGGCCGCGGCCGCGCGCGCACGGAGCCGACTTCGCCCGCCCGCGCGCCTCGCGCGGCGCCGCCCGCTCCGTGCCTCCCTCGGGCTCGAGCACACCCTGCGGGAGGGGGGCCAGCTGCGAACCCTGCCCCTACCCCCCCACGATTTCTGAGGGGGAGGGTGGGGTTCACGTCGTTCGGGAGCTCTCGAGCGAAGTGAACCCCACCCTCCCCCGCAGAAAGCGTGGGGGGTAGGGGTAGGGTTCGCATCTGGCCCCCAAGCCCTGCGGGAGGGGGGCTCCGAGGGGCCCCGGGAGGCTCCCAGCGGCCACGCGCCGCCCGACGGGATTCCGAAAGGGGTCCCTGGGAGGATCCCGAGAGGTTCGGAAGGTTCTGGGGGGAGGGGGGGGGGGGATCCCGAGGTGTTTGGAGGGGGGGGACGCGCCATGGGGGGGGCGATGCATGGCTGGGCAGCGAGGGCTGCAGAAAGGTGACTCTTAGGGCTCGTCACGGGGCCGCCCTTTCGGGCCCCGGATGGGGCCATTAGGGCCCGAACAGGGCAGCTTTCCTCCCCCCAAGGATCGCCCCCCCATACCGCGACGCCCAATGGATCCCGAGAGGTCCCGGGGGGAGAGCCCGCGATGTGCTTCGGGAGGCCCCGTGCCTCTCTCTCTCTCTCTGTCTCGGGAACGAGCACACCTTCAGAGAGGTGAGTGACCCTTCGCCTGAGCGACCTTCGGTGCGCAAGGATACACGTGCAAATCGAGAAGCGCATAGAAGTTTTGGCGGCAGGACGCCGGCCGGGCACAGTGACGCACGCAGGGCCAATAACCAGTCGGAGGTGCGCCTGGCACAGTCGAGGGCCGTTTTCGGCCTCCCCGAAAGTCGGCGGCGCGCTCAGGGGGGGGAAGGCAGACGCAGACATGCTATCGTCGCCAACAAATCCGGGGTTTCCTGTGCGGGCCCACGATGGAACCGAAGAGCTCTCAAGCTGTGAGTGCGCAGTGTTTTGCGCCTGGCTCTATAGGACGTGTTTAGCGACCTAGACTCGAGTCTCGGTGGCTACGGTTCGCTCCACACATTTACGCCATAGATGCATGCATGCATGCGTGCACACCTGCAGCTGTTCATGCAGCGTGTGTGCAATCACGCGCTGCAGTGGCAACGATGCTCCCTCCAGAGCTGGCGGGCGCGCATGGACGCCTCATCCCCTCCCCATCGCGGCCTCCCGAGGCCGCGCATCAAAGGTCATCCCTGCACAGGATCATTCTGTGGCAGGCTGCAGTCGTGTCTTCTCTCTCGTAGTCACAGACGCTCGGCAAGATAGAGTCGCTGGAGCTGCGATCGCAGCTCGGCATTTCTGTCCTTTTTTCCTGAGACGGAACTGCTCGTGCCGAGGCACGACCGCTTTGCCCGGAACTGTCAGGGGACCTACAGTTGCCCAAGAAGCTTCAGCGCCTCTTAAGCCTCCTGCGCAGGGTCATTCTTGCCCAGGCACGCACGCCTGCGGCTGCTCATGCCGAATATGTTTAAGTCGGGCCTGTCCCTCTACAGGGGGAATACTCAAGAATGGTGAAACATAGTCTGACTTTTTTTTGAATGTTTTTGGGGTGTTCTTAATTCTTTGTCGAAAATCGGCCTGCAGGGGGACAGGCCCGACCTTAGAGTATGTGCAATCGCGCGCTGCGGTGGCACGGGATGCTCCCGTCAGCACCAGCGGGCGCGCCCGGTCGTGCCCCCTCCCCGCGGCCGCCAGGGGCCGCGCACCAGAGGCCATTGCCCAGCGATGACGACGACGACGACGACGACGACGACGACGACGACGACGACGACGACGACGACGACGACGACGACGACGACGACGACGACGACGACGACGACGACGACAACGGTGGCGGCGGCTGCGAGGACGAGGACGAGGACGAGGACGAGGACGAGGACGAGGACAAGGACGAGGACGACAACGAGGACGACGACGAGGACGACGACGACGACGACGACGACGACGACGACGACGACGACGACGACGACGACGACGAGGACGACGACGACGACGACGACGACGACGGGGAGGGCGGCCTCGCGCCCTCCCGCGCGGCGTCGGGAGGGCATCCCTCGGGGCTCCCGCCCAGAGCTCCAAAGGTCGCGGCTTCTGCACGGGCGTGGGCCCCAGAAGGTCACGGGCGGCGAACGTGCAGTGGGGGCCCATGCCACGAGGCACCTCTGCTTGCCTCGCCCTCTGCGCGTCCTTCGTTATGTCCTTCGTTATGTCTTAGTTCCTTCTCCCTCCTCTTGCTCAGCCTGATACTAGCTACCTCCCTCCTTCTCCCTCCTTCTCCCTCCTTCTCCCTCCTTCTCCCTCCTTCTCCCTCCTCCCTACCTGCCTGGCTCAGCCTGATGCTAGCTAGCATCGAGCAGTTTCTCCAGATCGGCTCTGCTGCGCCACCCACAAGATGCAGTGGAGGCCCATGCCAAGAAGCACCCTGCTTGCCCTCAGGGCGCCCTGGATTTCTTGGGTTTCGATGGTTTTGCTGTGGAAGGCGTGACGTTCCCACACCAAGAACAAATGGACGCCCTGGGGTCTCGGGGTTGGGTTTCTTGCGGAAGGTTTCTCATGGTCAGGCCTCCACTGCAGCCGTATCCGCGCCCTCGCGGTTCGGATTTTGGGACGCGATCCCGCGGATACGCGGTCGCGCGGATACGCTCCGCGCGGGGCATCCGCGGAAACACGCCCCGTATCCCGCGGGTCGTGGCCCAGGGGCTCGGCCCGCGAGGCCGCGGCTACGGATATGCTCCTCGCCCACGAGAAGATCCCGATGCCCCTTCCCCAGGACCAGTTTGCCATCCTCAGCCGTTCTTGGACGACCTCGGGCCCCGGCGAGGGCCCCCAGATGCCGCAGATGACGACCAGTTTCCCGTCGCGATGCTTGTGCGACGCGAGTCGGGGGCCTCTGCGCACAGGGGCCTTCTCTACCTGTGCCCCGTGCAGACCCAGACATGTGTTGTCCTGCTTTTTTCATTGCAGACCCCTGGGCTCCTTGCAGTCCCAAACATCTCCGCCTCGTTTCTTTCAGGACACAGCATTTCTGGGGGCCCTCCCGCCGGCCAGGATGGCGCGGTCAAGGAGCTGCAGGCTGCTATGCCTCCCAGATGGGGCCCGAGGAGATGGGTCGGAGCATCGCTCCGCATCGCCGCTGCCTCGGCGATGCGGCTCGATGTAGAGCCCGATCTTATTCACGCCGACGGCGCCCGTGCATCGCCGACGTCGGTGCTGCATCGCCGATGCAGCGCCGAAGCGTCGTCAGTGCATCGGCGATGCGGCGCGATCCTCCGACCCCGTCTACTCTTACGTCGGGCCTGTCCCTCTACAGAAGGAATGTTCAAGAATAGTCCAAACATAGTCTGGGTACGAGTTTGTTGTAAAACATTTTTTTTAGGGGCCATTTCCAAATATTTGTTTAAAACTATGTCTGATGTTTCCTCCAAAATCCGCCGGTGTGGGGGACACGCCCGACCTCGGCTTACTCGGACCCCCTCTGGGAGGCCTCCGAGGCTGGCGGCTCCGCCACCCTC